CAGCTTGACAAGCCCGATATAATCATTTATCCGGTGGGCGAGGCGGGGTGTGCTTGCAATAGCTTAACTGCTGTTAGAAACCTCTCGTTTAAGTTGTATTACTTACCCAAATGATTTATGCGTGGCGAGTTATACCGCTCTCCAACAGTTTCAAATTGAATTGTGCTAAAATGATCTTTTTTAATCTGTACGAGGTACTTAAGTTTCAGCATTTTTCATTTCATATTGACAGTCCAAAATTTATATTTTTTCGAAATTTTGTATACCAAAAGTATTCAAGTCCAGTTGAAGGGTAGTCGGTAATTTCAGTGCCTTGCTCGAATTTGCGAGCAGCCTTGTTTATCAGGTGAAATCATTGTTTATTGTCTTTTGCAAAACTACAAGAAGCTCAAATATTTACTGTTATAAAAAATGATAGTCATACGTTTCTCCTTTATAAGCAGGCAATTTCTTTATGTCTTCCTTATGTCTCCCAGATTATCTTTCATGAAATGATCTTTTACGAGAGAATGCTTATAATAAAGTTTTTTGCATTTTTCAGTTGTATGACATGTATGAATTATAGGATGGGAACTGTATGACTAGCATTTTTTTGGAACTCCGTTTTATCCTTTGTGTTCAATCACTCCAAATTTTTGGCTTTGTTGACGCGATTTTGAATGATTTTCTCTCTGAAAAGATTCTGTAATTGCAAAACAGATTAAATGCACTATCTGATTGCAACTTCTCCTTAAACATTGTTTGTTTTAGGGCCAAGATTTTTTATAACATATCTTGGGTTTAGTTTTAAATTTAGAATTCATCAAATCGGCTCCAATCATTTCAAACCCTTTCCGGCTATCTTAATCCACAAACAAGTTTTATTTCGTTCGTTTTGCTCAAACTGATTATCAGTGAAAAACTATCAAAATAAGGAAAATTTTATTTCAAAAACGGAGATAAATGATTCATACAAAAGTTTAACCAAATACGTGAAATGCTAAGTGATACCCACATTAAGTTAAGACTGAGTTTTGCTTTATTATACTAAAAGGGGAATGATGCATAAAAGTACAAATTTATGAGGAATTGCGAATTAAGAATGTACAGTTTGCTGCAAAGAGTCTAGGTCCATTTTCATTTGACCCGTGTGAACAAATGCTGGCACTTGCTGATGGTGATGATGATGATGGTGAGGGTCGTAACCGGCTACGGCGGCCATCTCACGCTGGGCTATTATGGCAGGGTGGTCGAATAAATTAGCGAAACCCGAAGCGGCCATGGCGGCTGCTCCATGCTGATTGGCTACGAAGTCTCCGGGCGATCGCTTCGACACGACGTCTTGAGACGCGTTCTGATTGGTTAGAATATCTCTCGTGGCAGAATGGTCGACGAATAAGTTTTGAAAGTTGGCTGTGTTGTTTTGTAGGTCGTTGATTGGGTTTTTTCCTTGTTGGAGTTGTTGGTGATGATGAGAGTGGGGGTTTTGGGTGTTCTGGGGTACTTGGTGGTTGTGGTAGGCGGCGGCCACTGCGGCTGCCGAGTATCCCCCCATCAGGGCGGCCGAGGGGTTCCCGCTGGCTGCCGAGAGAAGAGCGGCATGACTGGCGTTGCTCTGAAAAATAAAATAAAACTCACAAATCAGAACTTCAAGCTTTAAAAAGTACAAAACTTGAATGAACTTGAATGTACTCATCATCACCATCGTCTTGCATTTAATAATTATTTTCTTCATTTGTATGCATGTTTTTTTTCGGTATCTAAAAGAGCTAAAAGCATAATTAAATGGTCTTATTTTTAAATATACCGGAAAAATGCGTCTAAATTAGAACCTTATTAGTTTTGTTGAAGTAAAATAAGTGCGAATTGGACAAAACACTGTTAATTAAAATTATGTGCTTATGCTGAGGTTAAGGGAAAAAAGTTCTGACTTTTGTCTTCTCGGGCTTAACTTTGAAATGTTTTTCATTAACTCACCATAGCCCGCTTTGAGTCCATAGCCTGTGTGTGGTCCTTGTGTTTGCCCACACCGCCAGCCCCATTCGCCCCTGCACTACTCTTTGGCTTCCTCTTCCTAGTCTGGATGCCATCCTTCTTCATTGCCAGAGGTCTGTTCACTCTATGCAGTTTGTAGTACAGACCACAGGCATTACACACTGGATCTCCCTCATTGTTTCTGCGCCAGAGGGTGGTCGAGTCAGTGCCACAGTTGGCACATCGGAGACCATGTCGACGGTTCGTGTTCTGAATCCAAAATAAATAAATAAACCTTGATTTCATTGTACTTTTTTTCAAAATGTACTTTTCAAGTCTAGTAAAGCCACTAGTACTTAAGTTGACGTAGCATGTGAAACTATTGAAAAATCTCTTGAAAAGTTTTTTTTAGATTTGTCTATGAATAATTGTCAAGGTAATCTACAAAAATCATGAAGACACCCCCGAAATTGAAGATCCATTTTTGAAAAAAACTGAGACCTCTTGAATTGCATCTACATTTGGTGAATAACTACGACTTACAATTTTGCGTTGCTGTGACTTGGACATCAAGGGCGACAGACTCTGTTTTCCCCCTATGTAGGGAAGTCCCGCTCTGGCTGCTGCGGCTGCTGATCCGGCGGCGGCTGCTGCCTGGTAGTAGGGGTGAGTAGCCATGCCCCCCTGCGTGCCCGACCAGAAATCGGCCGCCGCGGCTGCATGCGAGCCACCGAAACCGAATCTACCCACGTCTTGATAGTAATCTAAATGAAGATGAACTTGACATAAATTTCCATAAAATACTTAAAAAAATCAAGTACTAACAAGTTGCATATAAGTTAGTTATTTTCAAAATACCAAAGATTTTATGTTAAATTAATATTAATTTATTTAGTTTCTCTTAATTCTACTTCATTAGTTAGTGAAGTGGGTATATTTTTGTTAAATCTCTTTGCTTTGGTTTTTGTCTTTATTTACGTGTGAGGTGCCTGGCTAATATGGACACTTATCCAAGAGGATTTTTTGGCTGCCAGGTAGTTTTTAGCCAGGGCGACTGACTTACCCGGACTATTGGGACTTCAGCCAGGGGACTTATCAGATCTTAGGGACACCGATTAGCACCGCTGGATATTTCAAACCCAAGTATAAATTTGTTTTGCTCCATATTATTAACAGATTAACGCGCATTGTAAACCAACTAGGTAACAATCGTTTGGGCTTATTGTTTGTTTTGAAAGACCACTTATTCAGGTAATCCCAGTAATCAACATTGTCGGCCCTGTTTGGGTAGCCAGAACTGATTGGCGCTCTTTCACCCCGAAAGATCAGTTTTATCTCGGATATTTTTAAACTATCTAGGAGGTCTTATCCAAATCGAATTGAGCGTATATCTTCAACTGTGGCACTAAAATGTGTCAAAACTGATCGATTGCTAATTTTGCATTATATCCTAAGGCATATGTTGAAAAAATGCTTTTTTTCATTGACGATGTTTTTCCGTTTTTTGATTCTGAAGGAAATTCTTTTGTTTGCATTAACCGAGTAATAATTTTCCAGCAACTTGACATGTCTATATTTTGATTTTTTGGATTTTTCATTTTTTTAAATAGTCTTTAAGATTAAACACTATTGGTTGTTGAAGTTATTGAAAGAAGAACAAAATTCAAGTTTGGTCCTTTTTATCGTTTTCCAAGTTTTGTGTTTGTATAGTTGTTCAATAAGTTGAGAGTGAACAAACATGTGCATACCTGTCACTTTGGGGGAGGAGTAGGTGGCACATGTGTGGCAGAGGTAGTGCCCAGTGTCGTCCCTTCTGAAGATGTTTGTGATCACATTGCCACACTGCACACACTCTTTGTCACCTGCAGAGGAAAATAGAAAAGGGAATAAATACAAATAGAATTAATTTACATTTTATTAACTCCGTTACATTAACTCAATGAATAATCCGACTTTAATTTTAAAAATTGGCCTTTTGTTATCACAAAATTTTTTTGAAATACGACAAATTTTTAAAAAAATATGAAATAAGGTTTTGTTATCAATGATGTTCATTTTGTTAGCAAATATATATATTTTTTGAAAAAAATCTGATTCGCGCTGTTTTTAATTTGAAAAAAAAAAATGTTTGATTGGCAAAATAACTAGAATTTTAAAAAATATTTTGAAACTAATTTGTAGCCTTTGAGTTTTTGAAAATAATGAATTTTGAAAATGATTGAACCAAAGTGAATTTAAAAAAAAGACGATTGAGCAAGTCTGGATGAAATCTATTGAGAGCTAAGTCGAAAAATGTTACATGGCTCTTGAGCTGAAAACATGCATGAGTGGGTATAAATTACCTCTAATTACTCAAAATGAGCATTTTGCTCAAAAACTTTGACAGAAATGTTGGGTTAAATAAGCACAGGTTGAATAGTATGGATCAACGGCGGGGCAGGGGCATGAAATTAACTAGTTGGGCGAATGAGCATGTATGAATGGGGTGGGGATATTTTGTCATGACCGTTGAAATGGGATAATGGTTCATTAGATTTCTTGATTGGCATAATTGGTTAAATAAACTTGAGCATAAAAAACAGAAAGCAAATGTATGATCTCGAAAGAAAATGACCAAAGAAAGAGTGAGAGAGAGAAAATATCAAAAAATTGTAAGATTCTTGAAAGTTGAGAGGACGATAGATTTGAATATAAGAACTAACGATGAATTTCTTGCCCATATAAATAACCACGAACATTTATTATATGCCAATAAAGTATTTTGAAAATTTATTTTGATTAAATATTTTCTTAAGCGTTTAATGATTTTAAATTTTGATCATTTTTAAGACCGTTAGAGTGAACCTTCAATTTTCTTGAGACTTGAAAATTTTTCGGTTTTTTTTTAAATTTCATTTTCATTCCCGTTTCTTCAAACTCACGTGTGAAAAATTGCAACTTCCAGAAATCCATTTCTGAAGCCCCGGTTGCATATTGCTGACTATTAGCATGAAGTGCCTGGTTCGAATTAAGAGAATTATTTGCGCCCCCTATTCCCATTTGGCACGAAGCTTGAGCTGCCGCGACTTGAGCTGCTGCTGCATAACTTGAGTAGTCGAAAAAAGCAGCGGGGTTCGGGGTTGCCGAGAACGTTTCCGAAGATGCAATCGGGGATATTTTCTGTTGTTCGGATCCAGCCGAAGCGTTTGATGTTGTCGGGTATAGAAGCCCCGCTGCTGAAAGCAACGAAGCGTGATTCGGTGGCGAATTCGAAAGTCCATTGTTGTTTGTCGTGTTAATTCCGCCGAGTTGCGAATTCGGATTCTGTTCGTTTTCGTTTTTAATCTGATGTGTTTGGTTAAAAAATAGATTCTGGGTGTTTAATTGTTGCGACGAGTGAAGTTGTGACGAAAGTTGTGGATGATCTGAGTTTTGGGGGAGTCCAATTCGGTTGAGAACACTGGCTGCGTGTATTTCGGAGGGGGCGAGTGATGAAATTGTCGGGGTGGAATTCGCGACTGTTAAAGTGGGATGAGGTATCGATCCAGTTGCACTGAAGGAAGATAATGGCGAACAGGCGTTGGACATTGAAGGGTTTGGAAGGTTCGAGGGGTTATTATGATGGTGTTGATAAACTTGGTTAATAACTGATGACGATGCACTACTCATTATCTCAAAACTGATAATTACAATTCAGGCTGGTCAGTTTTAAATTAGTTTCGATCTATTTTTTTTTGTATCTCAAAGTTTTATCAATTTGCCGGGCAATTCTGAGCGCGTTGAAATTATTTTAGGTTTTCTATTTAGATAGTAATCAGTTAATGTGCAGATTTTCCACTCTTTTTCGAAGAAGGATTCTAATCCAACTTTGCGTCTGGAGTTTTTCGGAGATAATTTTTCTGGTGGTTCGAAGATTATCGGCTGAAAGACGTTCAGTTCCGGGTGGAAAGTTTGATAACAAATTCTGATTATATTGGTAGGTGAGACACAATTAAATGGTTGCTCCCAACTACGGGCAAACAAGATAGAGCTACGAAATATTCTGGGTTGTAGATAAAAATTACCCTGAAATATTCGATATAGCGGAACAAATTTAGAAAGTATTTAAACAAAGCTGATAAAAAACCTCACTAGAACTGTTTTATTGCAGCACTGCGAGTTTAGGTGGTTGAAATAAAAGGGATCTCGAATATCTCGAAGTTATCGCTCGTGATTAGATCCGAAAAGTTTGATATTGTTCAAGAGTTTTTATCCTCCGATCAGTTATTTATTGAATCAAAAAGTGGAAACTGTTTTTGATTTGATTTGATTTCATTTGTTTTGATTGAATTGAGGTATTGAATTTGGGGAAGCAAGTAGGAAAGAAAGATAACGAAGCGTTCCGATTGGCTGATTCTGCGGGCTCTTAGGAGCTTATCTCGATTGTGATTGGTCGATTGTTTATCGTCGATTGAACGGGCAGATGTTATCCAAATTGTGCCGATCTGAATTATTTATCCTTTGTATGCCAACTGAATACTGATTAGCCAGATATCTTTCTGTCTACCTGGTTTTGAATTGCACTTTTCTTCGCACTGATTGATTTCACGTTTTTCCTCATATCCAACTTTTTTTCCACAACTTTTCCCACTTTTTCACACTCTGTTCACACTTGTTTAGCTCATTCACAACCTGCCCCCGTTAACGGCTCTCGAATTGAGATAGTTCACTCTAACGGTCCTCAAGATGATCACTTTTCAAGGAATCTAACTTTTCCTGAATTTTTGAGATTTTTTGAGTAGAAATGTGAGAAAAATTGTATGATACTAAATCAATTAACCCATCAACTTAAGAGGCTCTTGTAATTTTTTGTTTTGGAAATTGGAAACAAAGATGTTCCTTACAAATGCTCACTTCAATTTTCATAAATGACAGATTTAACTTGGGGGTAAATTTCATTCAAACTGGGCATTTACACATTCAGGGTTGTACTAATATATCGAAACATTTTAAGGTAGAGCCAATTATGTTGTCAACGTCAAGTTTACTATCAAGTACAAGAATAAAGAATACTTCCACGCATTATTGCGGTCTCTTCATTTTGACTAAGAGTTTGGACACAATTTCGCCAGAAGCACTTAGTTCTAAGAGAACTGGAAAAATAGGTAATAGGATAATTGAGTGCCTTTTTCACAAGCCAGAAATCACTTGTTTACATATTCCCAGCATGTAGCTTGAAAAAACAAACAATCAATCTTTTTTTTAAAAAAATGTGAATTTTTTAAAAGTTGGAAAAAATGGGAAATTAATTATGATTAAATTGATCGTTAATTCTCATAGTAATCGAAAGTTGGAAAAAATCGGAAATTAATTATGATTTAATTGATCGTTAATTCTCATAGTAATGGAATTTCTTATCTTTTTGACTGTCTGTATGTATGCGAAAAACGTAATTTTCTTTGTCAAACTAATCTTATGCCCAAATTGGAAGCGCTCATTAACCCCACAGCTAAATTCAACTTTGACGCAAAGGTCTGGTTTTGACTATGTTAATAGATACTAATTAGGAGGTATATTCGATAACATTCAGCACTGGGGTGGGTTGTTCAGCTGGGCTCTGTGAATAGAGTAACGGGAATTTCGAGTCGGAAATAAAAAGCACCCGCTGGTATATACGCTATCACTATAGCTCCTTAAATACTTCTTAACTAGTTCACGCTGAGTTCGAAATTGTTCGACAACCACGCTTAATTCGTTCCTGCCTGTCCGAACTTTTGTTCCCATCCGGGAAAACACCAGACGGTGGAATCGGTACCCGCCCTGCCCCTGGGTCAAACAACAGAAAACAACAATAGCTCAATGTGTAAACAGAGATCAAAGCAATCAAGGATTTGAGCCGCAGAAAAAAGTCGAGAAATCAAATTCGTCATTCTTAGATACTAACAATAAAGCTGGTTTTCGCGCTGAAAATTTTTAGAAAAAGACTCAATTTGGAAGTTTTTTCTAATTTTCTATAAGAAATCAAAGGTTTTGCAATATTATTCTAAAATGTAGCATAATCGCATAGGTTTATAAACTCTTTTAGGACACTTTTTGCGATAACTCCAAAAAAACTCTCTTAAGTCAAAATTCTTAAACTGAATGTTTGTTTATATGAGTATATTTGTTTTCTAGAAAATTCTGATTTTCGTACAATTCTTTTTGGAGATACATTACGACACTAGACCCTCAAAACTACCGACTAGTCATAACTTTTCTCAGCTTTCGATGAAAACTACGGAATACTGGTGAACTTCATATTTACATTTAAGAATGCCCATTTTTGTTTATTATTTTGCTAATTTCCTTTTTCTCTATTATTGAGTAATGGAATGTTGAGACGGCTCTGAGCTACTTTAGAAGCTGTGTTCGTTGTCATCCGGGCTAGAAGGAGAGAGAGAGAGAGGGACAACTACTACTGCCGCTGCTGCCTCAGTTCTGTTCTTCTTCTGTTCCCCCTCTTCTCTCTCTTGTGTTCTGGAGGGGAAGATAAAGCGAGGGGAAACTCTTTTTACCAAGAGAACGCAAAATGGAATTTGAGAGATAAGCTACCTGCTACAGAAGATAGCACACGAGGCTCTGAGTGGTGCACTGATAAGCTATTATTAAAGTTCCCTTTCATTTTACATTTACTCTTTTTTTATTATTCTTAGCCCCCCACACAATGCGAACAAGTATTTCTTTTTTTTGTTCTTCGCTGCTTCTCAAAAACATTTAACATTTAGCCTCAAGTGATCCAACAACCCCCCCTCCTCCCTCGTCTCTTTGTAGCCCTACAACACAACTACCTTACCCCGTGACCAGGCAATCTAACAACCCACACTCTTAGTCCATAGATAGTCCATACCTCCCCCCTTCCTTGGCAATCTCTTGTACCCATAGAGCCATTGTCGAATATCTATTCTTTTTCCTGCATCATATCAGAAAATATGAACATTTTTCAATTATAATTTTTTGTTTCCTGTTTTTTAAGTTAATCTAGTTTGTAAGTTTTAATCAACGATAAGTTTTGCTGTTTTTTAATTTTTGACGTTAAAGATAAATTTTGCTGTTTTTTTTTTACTTTTTGACGTAATATTGGTATTTTATCACACACTGATTATTATCAAATCGTTAATGAAGTTTTGATGAATACGAAAGAAAATTTTTTATCGAAAGCGGAAGTTTTTCGTTCAATTACGTCAATAAATTCTGCCCAAAAAACTTATACAAAAATGAAACTTAATTTGAGCCCAAGTTGACTTTTGCAAGGGTTCTTATCTATTTGGGCAAATATATAAACTTCACCTCATAAAACATGTATGATAGACACCTAGAAATATTAACGTGAAGAGATCTATCGACATGTTGGGTCTTTAATCTCAGCGGTGTACCACTCAATACTTAGAAAAGATCTCTGGATATTTTAATCTTGCTAATTTATCGATCAAATGACAGTGTTGAACACTGTCAAAATAGTCGATCAGAATAAACTTGCAATAAAAATTATCTAAAAAATCAAAGTTTGCAAATACGGGCGCTGAGATTGCCCCAAGCGTTGGAAAAGAGGGGGAAAATGATAAAAAAAAAACCTTATCTTCGAAATTTGTTAATCAAAATATGTGAGCCTTATAAATAATTTGAGATTAAAAAAAAACACTTTGATTGATCTTTTTCTGGAACATTATAAATATTCGACAATGCCGGCGAAGAATTAAAGATACGATTGTAAAAATAACGCAGCGTTTTTGAAACCTGATGGAAAATAGGAATAGGAATCTGAAAATGATATCAAATTTACTGTCTTATCATTTTTAACCAATTAAAATGTAATAAATGTTGATCCAAACTGAGCTGGGTAAACATGCTAACAGCAGACCCTCAAAGTCTGGGTTAACTTGGAGAAAAATTTCAGTGACCCCAGCGGTAACTGTTGTTTGAACACAGATGAGTGGGTTCTGCCGAGAAGGAGGAATTTTGAGGGTCCGTTCCAAGTGGGGCTGGGAGGGTCCGGGGGTGGGGGTGAGTGGGGATGATCTGGGATATGTTCACGCCTTATTTATCCTTTTATTGTCTACGTGCACTGCCCATTCACTTATTACACGACTAATCCCAAGTCATTACAAGTCATTATAGTCCAAAACAGATTTTAGAACTAGTCAGCTATAGTGTGTAATCCTCTGCAATTTAGACAGCCAAAATAAGTTTTTGATATAACTGAATGGAATTATGTATACAGTTAGGTGAATAAAATTATTACAGGCTTTCAAATAAAAAAGCGAACAAATTTTTTTTCTTATTGCTAACCAAGTATTATATAGTTAGATTAAGAAAATGAGATAAGAAAATGAAAATTATCTCTAAAAATATCCTCATCGTTCCAAAATGAGAGTAATTATTCGTTTTTTAACTAAGATTTGATTTTTTCAACAAAAAAAGTCATGTTAATGTGTTTTCTTAATAATAAACATGGTCTGCTCGTTGCTTCGAAAATGACTACACCGAATAAATTTAGTATCAGATGCATCGATTAAAGAGACATCTGATGTTTGTTGATTGTGCAATTTAATGTTTACATTCTTGTTCTCATTGGAGTGGGGTGCCTTTGATTCAGGGGTTGATTTGTGTGTTTTTCAGTTTAATTCTACACCTAATTGCGACTTATGAACCAACTTGAAACACGCTTAAACTTCTCAAGTCAGAGCAAAAGGATGAATGGCGGTTGGTTGGTATGATGTTAGTTAGCCGACTACTGGTTATAAGTTTGAGTTATGAACTTGATATTAAATATTTGCTGAAACAGATAAAACACTTGTGTGTTTGAGCCCTGACCCGCAAAGGCTAGCGTGTGTTGGCTCTAACACAACAAAGTTGCACAGGGTATCAGCTGAAACACCCAAGATGTCATTCAAGCTATACTTCTTGATTTAAACATTTCTCCAGGTGTGAAATCATTTGGGCACCATATGGATAAACTCAACTCACCCCTCCCCCGCTCCTAACAATATGAAGTAAAATAACTTGCAGCATGCAACGAAGTAACTTTCAATCATCAATTCAGGCGCTGAGCTTCATTTGAAATATGAGAACTACTCAACTAGAAACTACGGGCTTTTTTATCCATGCGCGGTCGCAAAATTTTTTTATACAACTTATGTGATTTGATGCCTATAAAATTCGCAACCTTGCTTCTACAATTATAATGTTCTTGGAGCTCTTGAATGATCAAACAGTTTGTGTTGACCTATAAATTCGCGATGTTAAAAAGATTTCGAAATACTAATGCTTTCGTTTTAGTGATGTTTTGCTTTTGTTGTTGTAACATCAAACCGTCATTTTATTGCAACATTGTATGTTTAGACATTGTTGTTTTTTAAACATCGGAGGAGCTTGAGCTAACAAAGCATCATATGGTCAAAAGTTTGTGCTCAGCGGAAACCAGCGACAACAAAACAAACCAAAACAAAACAGTTTCGGACAAATTTCTGTTTTTCTGTTTGGCAAAAACCAACAATC